GGGGGTAGCTAGGGGTGGCATGTGGGAAGGGTTGGGGCAGGGGTTAGGAGGGCTTGGGCACGGGGTAGCGGATGGAGGCGAGGGTGGGAAATGAGTAGGAATTTTTCTTCAGAAACGAACGTACATTTTTTTCTCTTGGATGGGAGAAAATTTTATCCTTGGAAAATATTTTCTTGCAACTTATGTTGCGAAACAGGAGAAAATGACATCAAAATTTTCCGAGAAGATATTTCCCCCTAACCAAATACACCATAAATAAAAAATCTTGTGGTGAAGATGGAGGGTGGGGTACAAATTGGAATATACATTGGTGTAGCTCAAACATTTTTCTTCTAATTTTTATCTATCTAATGAAAAATGTACTGTGAATGATTGGGTGAAGTGCAAATTAGGGCACAAATTTGTTTACTTCAAGCATTTTTGATGTTACAATCTTATACACTCTAATATATGTTGGGGAAATTAACGAAAACTTGGATGATTCGAGAGTAGTGTAGAGCATTTTCAGATTGACTATTTTGATTGTTCAATCCAAAATTCAATCGGATAAAACTCGAAAGTATCAAGAAAGAATATGAAATGCTATGAATTTTTTGAACGATATTTCAACCATGGCTTGAAGGAATTTATAAACTTGTGGTGAGAAGGAGAAGACGCCATCGCGTCTATTACCCAAAATACGCAATTCTTCACGTGAAAGTCCTTTGAAAAACAGCGCTATCTGTAACAAATTTTTCCTTTAAAAGAAATCTGAAAATACAAATTCAAATTAATTTTTTTAACATAGCACGTTCTCCGAAATAAAAAAATTTTGAGCAACGCCAGGGGCTCTGCCCCCTTAGGACCCCCAATGTAACGAGATTTTTATCGTAACAAAATCAATGAAGTGTGCACTCCGCACCATCAAACTTCTTTAATAATTATTAGGATACCATTGGTCATAGTTTTTCTAATTACACTAAAATATACTCCGTATAATAATATATATTGAATAATAATACGGAGTAAGGCTTTAGAATTTGATAAAATACATAGAACTTACCATGATAATCAAATTCCCGAGAATTTCTTTTGAATGCATAACAGTGCATTTTAAACAACCACATCTATGCCATTTTGGCATGCCTATAAATCTGTTTTTTTGGTGTTACTTTGTGAGAGTAGTGTATAAAATAAAGAAAAATGCTAGGGGTACACCATTTGGTGTATCCCATTTGTCTCCTACTCCCTCCATTACCACATAAATGAGCAAGAATTTTATAAAAAATTAAATAAATAAAAAATAAATAAAAATGAGTAGTGGAGAAGGGAGTGAGAAACATACCCCTACCATTGCTCTAAAATAAAATCAAAATGTCCTTTCTAAGTCTAAGGATTAGACATAAAAAAAAAGTAAATTCCATAATTAGTCCTTTTATAATATGGAGGTTTCAATATTTAGTCCTCTATTATCAAATATTACTCTCGTAGTCTTTTTTTAAAGGTACTTTTCCACAAATGGTCTTTTTTTGATCTTTTGCCGTGTTGGTGTTAATTTAAAGGCTAACCTAAAAGTATAATTTGATGTCAACATTATGTCTAGTGCCGTGTTCTGATATTGGTTAAGCGGATAACACAAAAATATCGACTATGATTGTGGGCTAGGATTCTGAAAAAAGATCGCATTTGTAGAATATAGTTGTAGTAAAAAGCGACTGTAATTCACAAATGACGAAAACGGAACAGCCTTTCGAATTGTGTATGACAAAAAAGATATATTATCATTGTGAAATTACACTTTTAGCCCTCAAATTAACACCTATATGATAGAAGATCAAAAAAAGACTATTTGTGGAATGGTACCCATAAAAAAAGGACTACTTGGGTAATATTTGATAATAGAGGACTAAATAGAGAAACCTCTATGTTATAAAGCACCAATTATAGAATTTACTCTCAAAAGAAAGATGGGCCAGCCGGTCTAGTTTTGTTTCTTGAATAGTCTTTTCTTTCTTTCCATTGAGTAGTCTTTTCTACTCCGTACATTTTGTAGTCTTTTCTCTCATACGGAGGCGCCAACGGACGAATTAATTCCCTATGCTTTTCAAAAAGGATTCCAAATGAGTGCAATACCCCTTGTACTCTTTTACACACGCCTTCCCATTGATTCCAATTGAAAATATAAAGCAATCTATTTTCCATTTTCTTACCAACAAATCTGGAAAATGAACAGTACTCCTTGTACTCCTTTACCTGATGTCAATTGAAAATATAAAGCCATCTATTTTATTACTCCCTCTGTCCCCAATTTGATTACAAATTGTGGGTTACGGAGTAAAATTTTCTATCTTTTGCAATTATTTTATTTATAAATTGGTATATCAACAGGATATAAAAATTACATATTATTTCCTCCGTCCCCTGTAT